TATATATATATATATATATATATTCTCCTGCCCTTTCTCCTCCTACTTCGTCTTGGATGCCATAAGGTAAGCACTCTCCTCCACCACATACTCTAACACACATGCCAGATGATTTTCTGCTTTTGCTTTGGGACAAGACAGCAGAGCAAGTACTCCATTGAGCAAAGCTTCCAAGACCATCAGCCAAGACAAATCTTTCCTCTTAAAAGAGCAAAGCCATTTCTCTCAGGTATTTGTCAAAGCAACAACAACAACAACAAAAGATATGACTGACACAACCCCCCCTTGAGCTTTGAGGACTGAAACCCAAAAAAGGAAAGAGTCTTGCCCGAGTTCACACAGCTCATAGTGGAAGACTTGGATCTTCTAAGTGGCTGTTAGATCTCCGGATTTAAAGTCTAACATTCTTTTTGCATTCTTGTATGTGTGCTGAAGGTCCTTAGATGCTGCATTTCCTCTATAAACAATGATGTGGTTCATTTTGTGAGTGTTGCTGGTTATGAGGCATTGAATTTAGAAATTCTAATTTTATTGTCTGTCCCAAGTCATTCAGAATCCATGCTTAAGGTTAAGCATTGCCCATGGATGCTTGCATGTATATGTATCTGTACCTTGTGAAGATGCTATTCAGTTTTGAAAATACAAATCAATATAAAGAATCCTTGAAGTTATAGGAGCTGTTTGTTTCAAATTTTTTATTTCTAATATATTCAATCAAAAGATTTTAAAGGCTAGCCTATGGTACTTGGGATACTTTAAAGAATCCCTGTCATAAAAACTTTTGGGCCTCCTAACCATGTTCAAGTAGTTTTGCTATTTTTTTTTTTTTATTATTTGCTTGTTTTTTAATGTCCACATATCATTGTGTGCTAAGTCTGCCTCCATTACAATCTTAACTATTAATGATGCTGTACAACACTGAAGAAATGACATCAAAGAAACAGCTGATTTGTTTAACAACTAAGGAAGCCAAGTCAGGGACTCATAAAAAGGGTGACCTACCATGGGTACTTGACCACTCAGAGGTAGGACTGCAGTTAGAAACTGTCTGCCTGCATGGGATTTAGGAAAATTAGGGACTGCATGGAGAGGAAAAACAGAACCCAATATGGAGTGGTTACTAATAAGAAAAACGAACAATTAAGTAATGAAAGGAATTTCCCTTGAAGACTCATATCTATTCACCTCCAGCTTTGTGAATCTGAGAGGTCAGTGTGTTGGTCAATAATAATACTTGATCTTGAATGCTGTAAATTTAATATAGAACATAAAATACAGGAATCAATATTTTGATATTGTGGAAGCTCATTTATAGGCCGTTTGTTCTCTGACTTTTAAATGAAATGGAGAGTGGCAGAAACACATGGAATCATTTTTCAGAATTCCACTGAAGTTATGTGGACATTGATGGCTAAAAGAAAACACGAGGGGCTTTTATTTTGTCACCACTTCCAGTTCTCATAGGCTCCTCCCCTCCACGGTCCTTCCCACTAGTGCCTCTAAGACCTCTTCTTTCCTTGCTTCAAGTAGGCACATCTTTCATAGCCTCACTTAAGAAGCACTTCATCTCTGTACAAAGCAGGGGGAGCATGACCATGTCCTGGTGTTCAGTTATGTAAGGGGTGGTGGAAAAGCCAGGCCTCAACTTGTTCAGTAAGAATCAGAGTGCCAAGGTGGCCCTACAACCTTCCCCCAAGCTTCATTTGTGTACCTTGGTCTTCTATGAGTTCCATGCATAACACAAGTTCCAACAGTTAAATGGATTTGGATAATGCTATTCTGTAGCTCCTTCCTGGAAAGCCACAAGGCATGAGGGGACACTATATGCCCAGAGATGACCTACACTAAAGTAGCGGGTGTGTCTTTATGTTACCCCATAGAGTCTTAGTTTTAACTCATGTATGACTGCACCCTCTGGGATACTGCCTTATAGGATTCAGTGTCGTTTGTCTTCAACTTTCCCATATTTGTATTCATTAAATGACTTGGAGCATCATAGCTGGATACAAACAAGTAACCATAAGCAATCAAATAAAGCAGGTCCTGCTCCCCTGTAGTCTAGCATTTATTAAAAAAAATAGTAGCTAACATAACATAGTCATTGTAAAGTTTATTACATAGGAACCAAAGGTCCTATTTCCTGAATATATGTAGTTTATGTTGTTTTATTGCAAAATAATAATATCATTATATGCTTTGTTTCAATGTGTATAACCTAATCTTACTTTATTCTCCACTTCTATGCTGGGGCAGTTCCCACTACAATGAGAACCAGGCCCACCTGTGAAATAACTCTGTGTGAGCTCAGTGGTGTAGATTTTCTGCCCACTTTGATCATATGACATCATCTTTAATGTTGTCTGGCAAGAGTTTAAATATTGTTTTAGAATTAATCGTTGAAGTCCTGCTTAGAGGGCCTTTCTCAAATATCATATAATAGTCTCAGTATTTAGCAGTGGGCCAGCAAAGTTCCCCTTCCTTAGTAGATTATGGGTCTCAGTTCAGATTTTACATATAATTTTAACTGTGCCATATTCCTATTTTTTTCAAAGCACTTTTATTCTTGTCCTTGTTAAAACTAAGTGGTACTGATTAGCCAAAGTAAATAATTTCATTTCATTATAATAGTCTGCTAATACAGACCAAAATTTATCTCTTTGATCAAACTTGATTAGTTCTTGTAACTTACGTCAGTGAAATGTCATAATTATTCAATTAACATAGAAAACTAGGAAGCAAAAGTTACAAAGTATTTCAAGTAATTTGGATTGAAATTTCATTTCTCCTAATTTTTTTTTTACGTTGAAATGAGGATAATCTTATTCTGTAATGCTTCTGAATTTAAAAACTTACATATGTGGGAATTGGAGCTGTAAATCAAGTGGTAGCATGTGTGCCTGGCATGCACAACAAGGCTCTGGGTTCAATCCCAGCACTTCTTGAAACAGTTTATGTGTGTGTAAAACAGGGAAAAAAATAACACAGCACTTGAGGTTTACATGCAAAAGTAAAAAACTGTCAAATTTTACATTTCTAAACCCACAATGAGATTGGAAAGAACAGATTACTCTGTGAGAGTCCTAATGTTAAAAATAAGGTGTGAACCATCAGTCAGCATGTGTGCATACTATTAGTCCTAGTACCGCTCATGTTTGTGGAGATTGGACAATGTCAAACTATTAGTAGTAGTTTAAAGTTTTTCATTTTAGGATCATGATTGTGAGAAATCCTTTCGGTGATGCTTTCAAGATCCTCTTTATATCACATAACATCTTATTTACAAGGAGAATTGTGTCTGGCATTGGCTCTTCCTTCCCCTGTCATTTTAAATACTCATTTTTCTGGCAATTATTTCTTAGTTTATAACCCGCCAAGAATTTGTCTTCTTCCAGGGTGCCAATTGTACACATCTTATACAATGATCTGTCACACTTGGACCCGACCAATACCTGTGGAACAGTTCAATGGTAGCGAAATTCCTTTCTCTGGTGTCACCTTCCTGGGGGGTGGGGTGGGGAGTGGACTGCCTTGAGAGCCTATGTCCCTGGAATCTTTTACAATGGATCATTTATGTTATCAATATTTCTTAGCTTCCCTGTCTCCAGGCCCCAACACTAATATGTAAAATAAATAAAGCACCAGTTGTGTGAAAAGTAAACAGTACTTCACTTATCATGTTCTCATTTCTTTTGCATTTTCAGATGTCATCCATACCGTAGGGCCAATAGCCAGAGGCCACATTAATGGTTCCCACAAGGAAGACCTTGCAAATTGCTATCAATCATCCTTGAAGCTGGTGAAAGAAAATAACCTCCGATCAGTTGTAAGTACTTCAGAGTTCTTTGTTTTTCATCCCTTCTCAGCCTTTATGCAAAGAAAATAGCCAGTGCTGAGTTTATCATAATATTGTACATTTCTTTTACACATTTCTTTTACATTAGTAATGTGTACACACGGTTAGCGCTGTCTAACCTTTGTGTATGTGAGCATACTGGGTATCTACATATGCATCTTCAGATTCAATTCACGTTCAGAAGCTTACTCCATGTGTTTTTCCTGAACACTGTTATTCCTTCAGATTCATTTTATTCCCCATAACCTAATAACCTGTAACTAAAAATGTCACACACTTACACATTTTATGAAATTAGACAGAGAGAATTCAGAAAACGTGCATCTAATCTATTTTCTTAACAGTGTTCTGAGAGAAAGCTGGCATTGAAGGTATTTGTCTGTTTGCTTTTTTTTTTTTTTTTTTTTTGCCTTGCCTGACTTTTCATCTCAATTGCACCAGGAAAATAAAACTCTGAGCATTATATATTGTAAGTACCCAATAATAACTTAATTTGTTCTAGAATAAATTAATTTGGCTAGGATATCATGAGATCTTTAATTCCACAGAGATTATAACCTTGCTGAAGTTGCAGAGCGGGAAAGAAGTTAAACTTTCTTGAGGTCTTAGCAGGCTGACTAGACCTCAGCATTGCTTGAGAATTTACCCAACTGGTTGCTGTACAGTTTGCGAGGAGAACATTGAATCTTATACACATTTGGAAAGCTGCAGTTTGAAGTTGTACTTGTTAGCACAACTGTAGTTAAAAAGATCCTTTTTCATTGTAACATGGTAAATTCTCTTGAGATAAAGAGATATTTTACATGCCAATTATACCTTATAATACCTTATAATATTTGTATATATATATAAAACTTCGGTAACCTTTCAATTCTTTTTTAAAAAAAAAAATGTGTCTGTTTGCAAAATAATCAGTACCCAAATGCATGCAAGCATGTGTTTGTGTGTGTGTGTGTGTGTGTGTGTGTTATACATACAGGAATCTGCATCCATAGTGTGATGTAGAGGCCATAGGTCAACACTAGGATGTCTTCCTCTTTTTTTTTTTTTTTTTTTTTTGGTCTTTGGTTTTTTGGAGACAGGGTTTCTCTGTGTAGCTTTGCGCCTTTCCTGGAACTCGCTTTGGAGACCAGGCTGGACTCGAACTCAAAGAGATACACCTGCCTCTGCCTCCTGAGTGCTGGGATCAAAGGCGTGTGCCACCACTGCCCAGCTTGAATGTCTTCCTCTTATTGTTTGAGAGAAGGTCTCTTGCTCAGATAAGCCCGCCTGACCCCAGGGTCCTTAGGACCTTCCTCCCCCATACTAGGATTATTGTCTCTCCTGGTTTCCTTTCTGTTGCTATGGTAAAATATTCTAAACAGAAGCTCCCTAATGGAGAAAGAGAAGTCAAGGCAGGAACTCCAGCAGAAACTGTAGAGGACTGCCGCTTGTTAGCACACTCACTGGTTTATGCTTAGCTAGATGTCTTATACAGCTCCAGCACAGGGAATGGTGTTATGTACAGCAGGATGCCTCCTTATTTCAATTAGCAATAAAGACAGTCCCACAGACATGCTCATGGACCAATGTGGTCTGATAATGCCTCTATTGAGAGTCCCTTCTTAGGTGACTCTAGGCTGTGCCAAGTGTACAGAGCCACATGGCTACTCAGCTTTTTACAGGAATGGTTGCTAGGGATCTAAGTTCAGGCCTTCATGCTTTCACGACCAACACTTTACCCACTGCGCTGTTTCCACAGCTCCAAGACCTTGTTCTCAGAAGAGAAAGCTGAAATTCAAAGAGTGGAGAAAAGTATGAAACCGGTAGTTAATTTGATCTCTATAGGAAAAGCAAAGCAAATGTGTGCTTGGGAATAATAAAAAAATTGTCAATATGAATAGTTGATTTTACAAGCAAGAGACTGCAGTGCCTATGAAATGGATATCCATATAAGATTGCATCTTGGAATATATAGATTTTAATATCTGAAAAGAATGTGCTAGTAAAGTTATCAGTATTCCTAGTGATAATGTTTTCAAAAGGAAAAAAAAAAAAGAAACAACAAGACACCCATTTCAACTGCCCAGAAGTGGCATTTGTCCTTTTAACAGAGGAAATAAATAATTGTTAGGTATGACCACCTTAAGTCAATATATGTGAGAAAAGCACTAAGAATTGCATATTATGCTAGCTAGCTTTTATCAAGCCTTTGGAAGTGTTCAAACAATGCTCTGGTCTGGTCATTTTGAGATTGGAATTAGGTCTACCTTTGTATTTTTGAGGATGACTTTGAAGTATTAATATTATGTTTCTTGAATAAAGTTAGCAGGCAATGCTGAACTGAATTTATATGAATATTGGTAAATAAAAATAGAGAAGGAAAGTACCTGTTGAATCTGAAGTGAAATGCTCAGCTAAATTAATGGCCATGTTCTTAAATGATTAACTGGAGGTAAAGGATTTGTTCTTATATTTTTGTTCTTTATCCTTTATGTAATCTTCCTTCCTCTTTCCCTTCCCTCTCTCCCATGATACCTCCTTCCCTTCCTCCTTTCCTTTTCTTTTGGAAAGAAAAAAAAATGGGGCTGTTGACCCCATATGGTGAATCGTGTTCTTCACCACCATTAAATGAATCATTCTATCAAAATCATCAAATTATGATTATTTTCAAGGAAATGGAAGTGCAATGTGACAAGTTGTGTGTTTTATAGTACTATACATTGCAGATTTATCACAATACATGGGTCGATGTTATTATTGGAAGAAACATAGTTGTTAAGATGGAAATTAAACTCAACTTGAGTATATTTATTTATGGAAAGGGAAATTTCTCGTAATCCCTGTGCTAAAGAAGCCATTGATTGATCCCTGTAACAGCTTTGTGAGTTTCACAGGGAGGGGGTAACAGTAGCAACTTAATGGTTCCTTACATCTGGAAACAGATACTACAGAATCATATCACCTGCCTGTGGCTATATACTCTTGAGATCTGCAGGTATTTGGTCTCCCAATATTTTGGTGTCAAATGACTGTTTATTTTGGCAGGATAAATTAGATGGTGATAAAATTACTGAGCAACTGAAATTTGGAAAGGGAGAGAACTGCAAGAAAAGTCGAAGGGATCTCCCTAACAGCGTGCTGGGCATAGTAGAGACAAGTTTAGCTTGCCTCATTTGTTTGAAATAGAGACAATCTAAAGAAAACAGAGGGCAATGGTATAGCCCCAGATAAGTATCTAGAACTCAGGAGGTGATTTAGGTCATTGGATATATTGTGGATGAAATGGTCACTATAAAAACATACATTTTCTTAATTCAGAAAATTCTTATTCTTTCCTCTCTTCTATTTATTCTTTGAGAGGGCTTTTACTAACTGTATACCCCATCTGTACTTTATGTACTAAAAGTGAGAAACATAGTAAGTTTATGATTGATCTGACACTGTGTTTTCTGTCTGTGAATGTTTATCTAATATAGCCTCATAAATACCATGGAATAATTAAATTTAGGCTTTTGAGACACAGTTTCTTTTCTTTCTTTCTTTTTTTTTTTTTTTGGTTTTTTTTTTTTTTTTTTTGGTTTTTCGAGACAGGGTTTCTCTGTGTAGCTTTGCACCTTTCCTGGAACTCACTTGGTAGCCCAGGCTGGCCTCCAACTCACAGAGATCCTCCTGCCTCTGCCTCCCAAGTGCTGGGATTAAAGGCGTGCGCCGTCGCCGCCGCTGCCGCCGCCGCCGCCGCCGCCGCCGCCGCTGCCACCGCGCCACCACCACCACCCGGCGAGACACAGTTTCTTTGTGTAACTCTGACTGTCCTGGAACTCGCTCTGTAAGATCAAGCTGGCCTTGAACTCAGAGAATCTCCTTCCTCTGTCTCCTGAGTTCTGGGATTAAAGGTGTGTGCCACCACTCCCTGTTTATTTTCCTGATCTTATGATGAAGAATTTTAAATGAAAATTTCAATCTGGCTAGTCATTCATACACTCTTCTTGTCCAATATCTATTTCTTCCAACATAAGTCCAAATGTAGTTTTTTTTTATATTTCCCAAAATTTGGACTAGCCTTGGGGAAAATTCAAATATATAAAAATTGATTTCTTAACAAATTTGAGATCATTGATTTCAATATAGTTAAAATTAATGAAGAGGATGATTCAGATTTAAAATAATGGGGCATTGGAAACAGACATAATGATTAAAGAGGACCATGATGGGTTTAGGCTTTTTTTTTTCTATAAAACTTTGGGAAATACCAAGGCAAATAAAAGAAAACCACATGATTTGATATATAATTAATCTGTATCTTATTCAACTTGGGAAAGGTATAGCCAGGCTAGTAGAGTCCAGTTCCTGAATTGCTTTGAATTTTGAAATTATATTGTGTTCTGAGAAAATTAAATCTATACATATATACAACACACACACACACACACACACACACACACACACACACCTATAGTGAGAGACAGAGAGAGAGAGAGAGACTTTTTACTCTGCCTTGCCTAACGCATACATGTACGGATTGCTATCAACCTGAATGACCTTCAGAGAGAAATTCTATAATGATTACGTGTCTTTAGGAACATAATGTACCAGGGTAAGCAGTGAGCATATTCAAGGATATTGACACATGTGAATATTTTTAAGAGAAAAATGAGGAGGATTAAATAAGAAACTTAAGAGACAATAATCTTTGGCCAAGACAATTAATGACAAGGTGGTGACAGTCCACAGGTGAGCAAAGCTGGCTGCAGAATAGTTTCTGCAGAATCCTGACTTCAGAACTCCAGCGGCTTCATTCGTTCTTTGTCAGGGCAGACAGACATGACTCCATTTTGGTGTTAACAGCTTTCACAGCGTGTTCGTTTCTTGGTGAAACTTCAGGTATGATCAGAGTGAGTGTTGGTGGTGAAGGAAAGGTGGAAGCATTCAAATCGGACAAGGGCTGGTAAATAAGAGGACAACTCTATCTGCTATCTCCAAATGCTAAG